AAATAAGTCATTATCAGAATATTATTAGAATATTAATATTTATTAATATTATTATTAGAAAAACTGTTCAAGTCAAAGCTCCTCTTCAGATGATCAAAGGAAATTTTGTACGCAAGTTTTTTACGGCCAGTTCTTACATACGCGTGTGAAACATGGGTGACTACTAAAGGTGATGAAGAAAAAATGGCTTGTTTTGAAAGAAGAATTCTTAGAAGGATATATGGACACACACTCGAAAACGAAGAGTACAGAAGAACTAACGTTGAAATACAACAAATTTATCAAAAACCGAGTATCTCTGCATTCCTCATGAATAAACGAATTGAGTGTGCAGGTCACGTTTTGAGATCAAATGAAATTTTAAAGAAAGTTCTAGAGGGGAAAATTAATGGGAAAAGACCTAGGGGTCGTCCTAGACAACGCTGGATAGATAGGGTTAATGAAGATCTAAATAAGTACACACAAGGTATATTAATAGAAGACAGCGTTGATAGAGAAAGCTGGAAAAAAAATAGTAGAGGCAGCGATAAACTATAGATACATATATGGTATAACTTTATAAGTTATAACTAAAGACCGAATATAATTGCATTAGAAATATCTTAAAATTGCACTAAAAAGATGACAAAATTGCAATGAAATACATTAAAATTACATAGTAAAATCATATCAAATGTATAATCATTAATTACTCACTTAAATAATATTATGGACATTTATATAATATTTACAAAATATATCATTTTTCTGAATTAAAATTTATAATTATATACATTTCTAAATTGTGTTCTTGTTTTATATAGTTTTATATCCTTCATTTTTTCAAAGACATATTTTAATTTATATTTAACTATTTTTCCATTAGGACCGGGAATATTTATAGAAATATTAATACTAAATATTTTTATTTAGTTAGTATTTGTTTAGTATTAAATTTTATTTATTTATTTATTTAGTATTTATACTAAATATGTTTAAAGTAATTGACTATTTGATTCTTCTAAACTTGTGAGTTTTGTGGATAATCCAGATAAATATAATTTTAAAAATCCTAAACTACATTTAACTACATGTAAAAATTTACGTCGTAGTTATATTTTTTTGTAAAATTACTTTGGAAATAATAATTTGTATATTTTATCACGTGAAGTATACAAAAATTGCAATAATTGCAAAAAATTGCAAAATTGTTGAAAATTGCAAAAAATTGTATTATTAAATTAAGTAGGAAGACTGTCATTAATCTGATTCGTATACATATTTGATCAGATTTGATTTACTGAGTATCAATAAAAAGTTGCAATATCAATTAAATCCGCTCTTTAGTTATAACTATATATATATACAAATTTAAACCGATCGAAAAAATATATATTTGTTATCAACAAACGGCTGCATCCGAATTGGGTCTCGAATTTAAAATTACTATACTAGTTGGGTCCTGAATTATTTTAAGTTTACACTAGTTCCTGGATATTTTTCGGTAAGTACTACATTATACTAACATTTTCCTTCCCACTTTAACAGACTTAGAACTGCCTATGATCTATTTAGACCACAGAACAACATTTTTTTATGAATTCTATAATTTATATAATAATATAAAGTATTATTAAGTAATAAATGTATTAAAAATAAAATATTGGTAATATTAAGTAATAAAAATATTATACAACAATATTAATACAATTTTAATATTTTTAATATTTTTATCAACACAATTCTAATAATTTATATTATATGGAAACTATAAAAAAAAAACTATAAAAAACATACCTGTGGTCTAAATAGATCATAGATAGTCTTAAGTTTGTTAAAATGAGAAGAAAAATGTTAGTATAATGTAGTACTTACCAAAAAATATTCAGGAACTATTGTTATACTTAAAATAATTCAGGATCACACTAGTGTAGTATCTAAAAAAATCCGGGACCCAAATAGTACATTACCTGCAATTAGCCTCTAGTACTCGGGACCAGGGTCGTGTTAAGGGGGGGGGGGGTTCAAAGGGGGCAATTGCCCCTGGGCGCCGTAGTTTTTTAAAAGTAAGGGGCACCCTTATCTGCACTAAATATGCTACCTGTGTCCAGTGGCCCCGTAGAAAAAATTTTGCCCCGAAATGTTTGATATGGCTCTGCTCGGGACTCAATTCGCATGCTCCGCTACAAACTACCACTTATAATTTTTGTGCAGGTATAAGTAATCTTATAAGCCTCTATCGACCGTTTATAGAGGTCCAATAGGCGATATTCAATAATAGATATGTTTTTATGGGCGATTGTAAACTTCACCAGAATATTGGTTAAGATAAAAAGATAATAAAAGGTCAAATGTAAACTCCGCCAGTTTTTTTATGTTTTGCTTGTGAATCCTTCCAGTCATCTATGAAATTCATTTTAGAAAAGTAAACCAAACGTTCATATTTTTAGTAAAGTTCTTACCTAATTTCAAACACATACTTATATAAAACTAAATGACATGCCATGGCATATTTCAAGTAAATAAGCTAAAAAATTAGAAATAAAGAAAAAAAAATGACAGTATTACAGGATGCTATAAATAGGTACACAAATGGAGTAATACAAGACTTTACTTAAGAATATTTACAAATTATATCACATTATTTTAGTTTACATACATGACATAACTATATATTTTTGGATAATTAGGTATAACAATTATTTATTATGATTTTTTATTTTACTGTGATTGAAATATTTAATTTGAAGGATATAATATGATATTATACTATTTATTTTTTTTAATAATCTATCATATTAATTTTATACTACTACTTGATTTTCTTCACTGGCGGAGTTTACATGAACTCAATTTTATCTGATATTTTTCAGTGGCGGAGTTTACATGAATCAAATTTTACCTGTTTTTTTTTTCTAGCAGAGTTTACAGTAAAAAAAAGGTACTTGTGGCGGAGTTTACATACATCCGTTTTTATTAAATAATTTAAATTACTTGTTCAATGTTCATTATAATATAAATTCTAATAAAATAAATATTTAATTTTACCACATATTTACTATACTAATTTTTTTTTGTCATTTCTTAGTGCATCTACGGTTATTTTTAGGTACATATTTGACGATTTTTTGGTGCATATTTGGGTATTTTCTAGAACTACAAGTCTAAGCCTATTTATAACGATCTTAGTTTTTGGAAATTTTATACATAAATTGGTATAATTTATAAATAATTCTGATCCATAGAAAAAATTAAGAATATATCGTGTAAGTAAAATAAGTAGATGCAAGGTGATGCAAATATAGCAATATTATAGTAATTTCACCACCACATAATGGCTTCAAGCCTTTCGTATAAAAATAAATTCGATTAAAATCCTTTTGCCGAAATACTTTAGAATTTACCAAAAGGTCTCAAGGTTCACGAGGAATAGGAAGGTACACAACGACACTGGTGGATATATTTCTCTAACGTAGCTGGTGTAGATCACAGTTCAGAAACTTCTGAATGAGTTAGGTTCTTTAATATAGGACAGAGGTTCCCAACCTTTTTTGACTCACGGTACCCTTTATTATTTTCTAAAAATTTGGATACATCCTATAGCCTATGCACTGTACTCTATAGTTTATACCGAATACACGATAGTAATATATCGTATATTTAAATTTATTTTATAACTTTAGTTTTATTTAGCATTAATAAACAATAAAAATAAGATAAAGTCACAAGTATTTCACCGTTAATAACTTTAAAACAGTTCACATAAAATCGATAGCAATCGAACCAATATGAAAATTGAAATAGATCGAACATCTCAGTATTACTATGTAAAAATTATATGTGTTATACATATAATTAATAGGTACATTAAATTATATTGTATATAGGTACCTAATTAATTATACACAATAAGTTTTATATTATAGACATAAAGTATAGTCTGTTTTATAATTCACAGTGCTATATTTTTCATGAAGGCGTTTAAAAATTAATATATATTTCAAATATTTTTGCGGCACCCTAAATTTAAGTTTGTGGTACCCTAGGGTGCCCCGGCACCCTGATTGAGAACCCCTAATATAGGAGGCAAAAATACAGATGCGTCAATCCTCGACTAACACAGTCGATTGTTTTTATGAAAAAAAACATTGTATTATTGTACAAACATGGAATTATAAATATAACTGTCAATAATTTTATACCTGTTCATTCATTGTTGTAAAAGTAAAACGAAAATTTTTATATATTATATGAATGAAAATAAACCAGTCTTGATGTGGCAAGAATAGATACTATTACTATGATTATACGAGTTTCCGTGACTGCTACCAGCAGCAGCAGGATTACACCTGTTTTTCGAGAGATAAGGTGTCACACAACAGTTCTTTTACGGAAAAACATATATCAGTTCAAGTCTTTTCATTAATTTATCATATTCATTTTTTATTGGACTACGGAAGGAGAGCTATAAGGGATGGAATAAGTTGTTTCAATCAATTTTTTTTTTTTAATCCTATCCAAGCTTTTTACTGCATTTAAATTATCATGAAAAAAAAACATTATCTCTTGACATTTAGTACGGCGATGATAACCCCACCACTACTACAACAGTTATCCTGCTTATCGGAAGATTCGTCGTGGTGTCTATGCATCTAAAAAAAAAAAAGTACTGTACTATTGTAATATGGTACACTTTGGATTTCGGTCGATCCACGTATACCGTATGTCTGATAACATTATGTAACGTCAAGGGGTACTGTCGATTTTTGTGTATTCGTTTTCGATCACGCCGCGGTCTTGCGAACGGATTTACAATTATGTTTTCTACCTATAATACGTGCGAAACGTTGTTTTGCTGGCGCAGTGCATTCATCGTTAAAAAGTGCCAAACGTATTCATTATTATTCTAAATAATGACAGCTGTTATTTAAATACACGGCTGTGCTGCTACTGCTGTCGTTACTTGTATTAACTGTACAAAGTATTTTTTTATTATTATTAACCTACAATTTGTATGTATAATGGCTTTGAAAAAAGTCAGAGGCAACATTGAGAGGATGTTTGATAAGAATTTAACTGATCTTGTTCGGGGCATACGAAACAGTAAGGAAAATGAGGTATGTTAAAAAAAAATCAAAACGTTTGGCGATTTCTTTGAATTGTGTATATGTATTGATTTTTAAATTGATAATACTATTGCAGGCCAAATACATTGCACAGTGTATGGAAGAAATTAAACAAGAATTACGACAAGAAAATGTGGCAGTTAAAGCAACAGCCGTGGCCAAACTTACATATGTAACTGTTCTAAATGAAATTAAATAAGATTAAATTGATGCAAACCCTTTTTTTTTTTTTTTTAGCTACAAATGTTGGGCTATGACATAAGTTGGGCAGGGTTTAACATCATTGAAGTTATGAGTTCTTCAAAGTTTACTTACAAAAGAATTGGATATTTAGCATCATCTCAAAGTTTCCACACTGATACGGATGTATGTCATATTTGTTCAAGTATAATTATCATCAAATTATGTATGTTTTGTTAAATTAATATTTTTTTTTAGTTACTTATGTTGACAACAAATATGATACGCAAGGATCTGAATAGTCAAAACCAATATGATGCTGGTGTTGCTCTTTCTGCACTTGCTTGTTTTATTAGTCCAGATCTAGCAAGAGATTTGGCAAATGATATTATGACATTGGTAAAATTTATACTATAGTTCTCGTTATAAATACATTTTTATATTTAATTTTAATAATTATAGCTATCATCAACAAAGCCTTATTTGAGAAAAAAAGCTGTGCTTATGATGTACAAGGTATTCCTTCGTTTCCCAGAAGCATTGCGACCAGCTTTTCCTCGTTTAAAAGATAAATTGGAAGATATGGATTGTGGTGTTCAATCAGCTGCTGTGAATGTGGTTTGCGAATTAGCTAGAAAGAATCCAAAAAATTACTTGAGTTTAGCTCCAGTGTTTTTCAAATTAATGACATCATCTACCAACAACTGGATGTTGATCAAAATTATAAAACTGGTAACTACTAAAATCTTTATTTCATTTATTATTTAGCTTTTGAATCTTAAACTTATTACTTATAATTACTGTTAATTATTTTATTTTGATATTTGTCCTTAGTTTGGTGCGCTGACTCCACTGGAACCACGGCTTGGGAAAAAACTTATAGAACCTCTTACTAATTTGATTCACAGGTAATGGATTATATTTATTCACATAAATAAAATAAAATAGTAATTTTAAAAATGAAATGTTATTTATAGTAATTTTTTGATTAATGTTTGATTTTATACAATTTAAGTTATAGCATACCTACTCTAACTGTTAATAATCTTCAGTTAACTCTTCTTTATATAAACCATTAAATCACTAATTGATAATATTTTAAGTTAATATTTATACCATTTTAATGAAACAAAATTAATATTTTGTCCAAAAGTATTTTAAGAATTATTATTTTTGTAGGCTTAGGACTGATAGTAAATTTACTAAAAAAGATTCAGTTGTATCAAATAATTCTAAAAGCGGACAAAATATTGTAAGGGACATTCCTCACTTTTGGAGATGGTATGTTTGTGGGTTAAAAAAATAAAATAAATTAATTAATTAAGCCTTGTACATCTAGAATAATTTACAGTATTAATTTTCCTCTATGACTATTATTAAAAAAAATCGCCTTAGAAATAATAAAATAACCAGTAACATTAAATTAGATACCTAATTAAGCTTCAATTATTGGAGTATCCTAAATTTTGTGCATTTATATATATATATTTACTATATAATTTTTATTTTTATTTCTAAAATTTAGCTTTATTTGCTTAAAAAACCATATAATCCAATTAATGTGTTATCAATATTTATCTCTTTTAAAAATAAACAATTGTTATATTTTATTAGATATATTTGTAAACTAGTTATAACCAAAATATGTAAATTCTGTAAAATTATAAGAATTTTTTTCATTATTAATTTATTTATTATATATATTCAGATAAGGTATAAAAAATGTAGATTAAATTATTGTTCATATTTTTACAGTACTTCTGCAATGTCTTTGTTATATGAATGTATCAATACCGTGATTGCTGGTAAGTATTTTTTTTATTATTATCTAAATTATTAATTATTAATTATGTAGTTGATTATGTAAATATAGTACTAGCGATAGCTTGCAATGTTAGGAGTTAGAACAATCAAAATATTTTCATTTGGATCTTCATGTGTCTATCCATGCCAATTCATAGTTGCTTTTATTCAATTTAAAAATGATGATTCAATTTTTGAACATTGTTATGATATTTCACCATTTTTTAGCATGAGCTTTCAAAGTACATGGGAGTAAAACAATATATTTTTTATTTATTTTTCTTATTATTTTATAATAAATCATTCAAACCTATTGAAAAATTATTGTTGTTTATTTATATTTATAGTTTAATTAGTTTATTATGTCAAATATAAAAATAAAATAGTTGATATACTGTTTTCCTTCATTGCTATTTCCAATAAAAAAGTAAAATATTTTTAAATTTAAAAAATATTATGTATTTGAAGTTTAAAGTATATTAAATAAAATAATATTCTCAAAATATGACCCATTTAATTATTAATAGCTATTTATAAAATTACAAAATATTTCATATGACAGTAACTTGCAATTATTTAATGTGATTTTATCCTAAATCTTGTTATAATTATTACTGAATTAATATACTACCTAGTTTACTTTTAAGTATAAAATGTTGTTCAATTTTACAGTGCTTATCTCAATTTCATCTGGTATGCCAAATCATAGTGCTTCCATTCAAGTAATAATTTTTTATTTAATAGTTTCATAATTTATTATACTAATTATTTGTTAATATATATAATTCATATATACATATTTTCTTGTAGGTTATGGCCTTAAAGATCATTCCTCCAAATAAATTTGCCACCAATTTTCTTTATCCTCTTCAATTTCTCTCCATTGTATAATTGGTCCCACTGCTTTAACATATTTTTTGATACAGTACTTCTATCATAAACACAGTCTACCTAACAGTATTTTTCCAATTAGATCTTCTTTATTAATCGTTTTGATAAATGAGTCCTCTTTCTTTATATATATATATCTAACATTAATTTGGAGAATTATGTATTTTTATGTAATAGATGTTCATATTTTAATAGAGATAATGAATGCCAAATGTCAAATATCTAGCTTTTATAGTATACATAAGTAATTTTTGTATTATTTACAAATTATTTTAGTTTTTAGATATCTGTATACTATTTATGAAAAATAATTTTTTATAATCTTCTTTTATATTGATTATATTATAGTCCAGCGGTTCTCAATCTTTATAAGGCCACAACCTCTTAATAAATAAATATACAATGTATAATATATATGAATAAATAATAATATCATCAATATTTTGAGCCAAGATATCACCAAATCTTTATTATGATAAAATTAAAAAAGTAGTGATAAATTAATATGATTAATTAAATGTTTTTATTGGTAATCCTAAAGTTTTATTAATTGTAATTCTCAACAATGATTATCATGATGATTTTCACAAAAACAACTTACTAGTTATTTTATATATTGGCAAACCTACAAATATTGTTGGCGACTCTAAGTTTGAGAATCACTGTTATAGACTATAGTTATATTATATTGATTGGTTATGGTCACATTATTAAGCATGCTTTGTTCCTTATTGAAATAGTTAACATTAATGTGACTTAAAATAATAAAAATCTTATTCAATTTAATATTAAATGTAATTAATCAAGACTCACTAGTATAGAACATATACAATTGATAAATTTAATAAAGTTATTTGTTTATTGTATATGTATATAATATTATCAAGAAATTTTAATTCATCTATGCATTGATTCGTAAAAAAAGTTGTTCAATAATTAAGTTTGTCATATTTATCAGCTGTATTCTATAAATTATATTTTAAAATTAGTCTTTTTCCTAAATTTTGAACTGTTGTTTCTGTTGAAAAGCCTGTTTATAGTTATTTATAAACTCATTTATAATCATTAGGTACTGATTATTTCTTAATGATCATATAATTTTTAAATTATTTAAAAAAACATAAATATATTTTTACTCTTATTACCATAGTGTACTATAAAAGTTGGTCAAATGAGGCTTAATAATCAGCACATATATAATATTTCATATGAATTTAAAAATTAATTAAATTAAATATTATCATTAAAAAATATATGTAAAATATATGAATTTGTATTTTAGTTATGTGTCCAAAAATTAAGAATATTAATTGAGGATTCTGACCAAAACTGTGAGTAAATATCACATTTTATTTTTGTGTTGACTTATTTAATATTAAATATGTTTTAGTGAAATACTTGGGTCTATTAGCTATGTCTAAAATTCTAAAAACCCACCCTAAATCAGTTCAAGCGCACAAAGATTTAATTATGGTTTGCTTGGATGACAAAGATGAATCAATTAGACTTAGGGCATTAGATCTTCTTTATGGAATGGTAAAATTGTCAAATATTTATCGTTAACTGTAAGTTTATAATAATTATTATTCTATTGCAGGTTTCTAAAAAAAATTTAATGGAAATAGTAAAAAAACTTATGGTTCATATGGATAAAGCAGAAGGTACAATTTATCGGGATGAGTTACTTGTGAAGATAATTGACATATGCTCTCAAGATAATTATCATTTTATCACAAGTTTTGAATGGTTTGGCTTACTTCATTATTGTTTTCTTTTAATACACATTTTTTGTTTAAATTCATTGTTTTATATTTAGGTATGTCAGTGTCTTAGTTGAATTGGCTCGAGTGGAAGGTATGAAACATGGTCCATTATTAGCGCATCAAATGTTAGATGTTGCTGTCAGAGTTAAAGCTATTAGGCCATTTGCTGTAAGTCAAATGACTCTACTTCTTAATAATGCTCATATGTTTATGCAACCTTCTGGTGGTTCAAATATGGCTCATGTACTTTATGCAGCAGCTTGGATTTGTGGAGAATACGCCCAGTAATTATAATTTATTTTCTAACTTGTTTGGATTTTTTAGTTTGATATTACTACTGTTACAGTGAACTAGAAAAACCCGAAGAAACTCTTTTCTCAATGCTGACTGGTAAAGTACATTCACTTCCTGGTCATATTCAGGCTGCCTATGTTCAAAATATTATGAAAGTATTATCTATAATATTGTCTAAAGGAGATACTCAACATTCAATCAAGGTATATAAGATATTTAATAAAATTGAATAAATTGTTTTTAAATTTATCATTGAGACAATCCTGAGATTTTTATTAATGGTCATTATCACATCTGAGGATGTATATCTATTACTTACCTCACTATCTGTAAGGAGACACTTGTATAGTCGATGTTCTTAGTTTGGTAGGTTTTGAAGGGATAATGGTGTAACGACAGCACATAGAAGATTCGAGAGTTTTTGTATTGTGTTGGAAATATAATTTGAGTGCAATATGAATTGTGGTCAACTGTTACTACACCACATCAGATTCTTATATTAATAAGTATATAAATTAATAATATGATTTAGGTGTGCAAACGAGTGTCAGATAAATTGGCTCAGTATGTCTCTAGTGGAGATCTGGAAGTTCAAGAACGTGCAAGTGCAGCGTTGCAATTAATAAGTTATATTCAAAAAGAATTAGAAAATGGTGATGTTGATGATATAGCTATTCAAGTAGCTTATCTATTTAATGGTGAATTGAACCCAGTTGCACCTAAAGCGCAGCGAAAAGTTCAAGTGCCAGAAGGGTAAGTTTCAATTTAATTAATTTTAATACATTTAAATTAATTATTGATTTAATCTTATTCATTTAAGATTGGATTTGGATGTGTGGATCAATGAGCCATTGCAAAGTTCTTCAGAAAGTGATGATGACAATCAGTCAGATGACCATAACAATTTTTTCAATTTAGGTGGTTTTGATAAGAAGGAAGAAGAAGAAAACACACCTAACACTATAGAACAAGCTGAAAAGGTATAATACAATTATTGTTTACATTTTTTTCAATTACTAAAAAACATAAACTGTGTTTTCAGAACAAAAAAGCTCGACTCCAAGAACAAGAAAATAATCCTAATTATTTGAAATTAAATTCTAGCAATGATCAAACTTTAGATATTCCTATTACATCCATAGATCTGCCTACCTCTTTAAATGTATCTGGTTTTATATCATCTGATAAATACATAAAAGCAAAGAAATCTAAAAAGGACAAAAAAAAATCTAAAAAAAAAAAAAAAGGGCATAATAATTTTGATGAAGAGGAAGAAGAACCTGTAATTGAGATGATTGTCAATCGAGATATTGGGGAAATGCCAGATGGAGCCGAAGATTCCGATGGAGTAGTAGATGTACAAAAAGATATAAATGACCCTCATACTGCCTTAGATATTAACTTGGATGTTCCTGAAATTGAAAGTACACCACCAGTTGAAGAGAAAAAAGAAAAACACAAGAAAAAAAAAAAGGAGAAAGAGAAAAAAAAGAAAAGTGAAAAATCTAAAAAGTCAAAAAAATTAGATAAAAGTGATCAACAACTAATTGAAATTAAACAAGGTTATGAAGAAGCATTGGGAATTTGCACTCCATCAAAAGAAATTGTACAAGCTGAAGATTTGTCATTCAGCAAATTAGCAATGGATAAATACGTACTATTGGTAAATAATAAATTGTTTAGATTGTTTTTAGAACTGTACTTATACTTTATACTTTTTATGTATAATATTAAATTATCATATTTTTTTAATTTTCTTATAAATGCAGTTATTGTTATCTAATACCCGTTTTTTTTCATTGTTTAATTTAGGAGTACAAAATAGATCCTAAAAATGAATTAATTAATTTCGCGACTGTCTTCTTTCGTCTTACAAATATTGGTAACAATTGTTTGATTAAAAACATTGAAATAGATGTGAATAATTCTACTGCGATTCAATTTTTAGATGAAGTAAATATTTGTTTTAATAATTTTGTATTTTAATTTTTTTTTTAATTAAATTTTAATTTTAGAAAAACGAATCATTATCATGGTATAAACACAGTAATAGCATTCAGTGTGGTTCATTAACGGAATTTGATTTATCCCTTAGAGTAGATAATATAACTATTCCTAATATTCTTCGAGGTACATTGACATATATGGCACAAGTATGTAATTTCTTTATTTAATGTTTTTTTTTTTTTTAATAGGACAACTTGTTTATAACTTTATTTGTAAAGAGTATGTCCTTCAGTTCACTAATGAATCTATGTATGAGTATAATATATATTTCTATATTTTATTAGATATTTCAAGAAGACAATTTTCATCAAGATAAATTAGACTGGCGATTAACTGTAGCGGTGTCAGATATGTTTCTTAAAGCTCCCCCATCTGTACCCTTGGTTGAACTACTTTGCAATGGCCAGCTAGTTTTCAAATCATCTATAATTTTAAGTGGCACAAATTTCAACCAAGTTATAAATTGGTTTTCTACTAAATTGCATTTAGTGTTAGTGGAACGAGTTGGTGAAACTGCATCATTATACGGTTCTACAGCATCAAGTGAACAGCTATGTCTCTTGGTAAAATCTAATTCCAACAATGTTTCCGTTGAGGCAAAATGTACATCACAAACATTAGTTGATAATTTAATGAGTGAAATAAAATCTACTTATAATATATAAAATTATATTATATTATTACAATTTTATTTATTATTTGATCGACTAATTTAGATAATGAAAACATCAAATACTTTGAAATTCCAGTTAACTCTCAGGTTATTTAAAAATTGTTAATTCAAAATATGTTTATATTCCTTGTTAAAATAAAATATTAGTTGTTCTTTTTATTGTATTTAATTTATTTTTACTTTGATTTTGTTTATATTTGAAATAATTGAAGAACTAATAAATTAAAGATTATCTTTATATTTGTATACAAACAAAATATTTTTTTTATATTATACTGTTCATGAACTTTAAATATACCAGTAGTTTCTTATTATTTTTATCAAAAATATTTAAATAGTTATTTTAGTTCTAGAAGTTCTACCTGGAAAATATTTTATGGAATAAATCTTTAAAAGTACCATTGTTTAATCAAGAACAAACTATCAAACCTTTATGAAATAAAGGTAGATTATATCAAATTTTGTTACATACATTTATCTATAATAGTTGAAAAATTGGTTGGGAAATTTAAAAATCATATTCCTAATTATTAATATTATTATTTGGTACTATGATTTTTAATACAAATCTATATTGTGTTTGGTAATAATATTTATCAATAAAATAAAATATATTCGTTTACATTTTCAATGTTGTCATTAATATTACAATATAAATTATTAAAACATTGGGTTGTAAAGAATAATGATGATCTGAGTGTGTACACTTTATTGTTCAACACTCGTTTTATCGACCATTGTAATTATTTTGTATGTTTAAAGATAAATATTTGTTGTTAATTTATAGTCAACTGCACACAGTAACGTATCCAGGATTCATTTAACGAGGGTGTTTTAAATTTTAATTGACTTATGGATAAGTGGGAGGCTCTGCCCCCTCCTATATTACATAAATAAATACCATGTATTTATATAAATTATTATACTAATGAAAATGATTATATTAAGACAGTATATGTAAAATTGACAATTTGTATACAATGTTTATCCAAATGAAACTGTAAGTTTGAATATATCATGAAAATATCATAGAATATGGTCGATGGGGGGTATTCTAACACCCATATCACCTCCCTATATACTCCCCTGACTGCACAATATTGTGTAGTCAAATAACATTTTTATTTTATGCTATTGTTTATGTAATAATTTTTTTAATGTGTTTTGATAAATGAAATTGTGTTTGAGTAGGTACTTTGCAATAACCTTAAACTGAATTACTTATAATCTTATATTACTTAAAACATTATGTAATTATGTGCTCGTTACTACATTTTTAAACATAGACTCCATTTCGAATTTCAAAGATTTTTAAATATAACTGATATTAGAAAAACAGTTTATAATAGAGATAATAAATTACTTCCTTAACAAAAAACCATAGAACTACAGAATAAATTCTTTGATAGAACCACGGTACGCTGATAAAAGATAATAATAACGCCAGCGTGCGTGAAGGCCCAAGGCGAACGTAAGCCTTCTATAAATTGTACGTTTTGATTGATTTTCTTTTACGTATTCATTTCATTTGGTTTAGCTTAACCGAGTATTCTAACAACATTCAAGAAGAATTAATGCCCTATGTTTCAAACATTGAATCGATGAAATAAATAAATTATAACTTATCTTAATTTTTTGTTTTGAATTTCGTCCTAAATATAATATTTACTTCGAGATCAAATTTAATTTTAGAATTTTGATATCATGAGTGAATTGTGTTACGAAAAGAGTAAAAATTATTGGTCTAATGTTTCGGCTTCAGTGAACGGAATGCTTGGTGGTTTTCCTTATTTGACGATTATGGATATAAGGGATTCCCATACTTTTCTCAATAAGCTGTTTCAAATGAAAAATGGTCCATCTAAAGGAAGAGCTTTGGACTGTGGTGCTGGTATTGGAAGAATAACAGAAAACCTTCTATGCAAACATTTCAAATTCGTTGATATGTTGGAACAAGAAGAAAAATTTTTGAAGAAAGCCAAACTAAAATTCAAAGGAACCAATGTGGAAAACTTCTACTGCTCTGGTAGGTACGTGTTGGTCATTAATTTAGCTTTATAAATTTTAATATGAGGTTTATGATAAGGATGGCCGACTCCAAATAATTGGGAGAAAGGTGAAGGAGAAAAAGAAGACATCTTTTGATTTGATTAAGTTCAAACTAATAAAGAATGATTTTTTGTTTAGGATTACATGAATTCATACCTACTGATAATCTTAAATACGATGTCATCTGGATTCAATGGGTTCTTGGTTACCTTACAGATAAAGATTTAGTTGGGTTTTTAAAAAAATGTTGGTAAGAATAGATTTTACTTTAATTTTACCAGAAAATATAATTTTTATAAAACAATAATTATCTTTTTAAATATCTAATAAAATAAATAAATATAATTAATTACCTTTTTAATATTTATTTATTAGATGACTATATAATATTATGTAAAATATTTAACTTATTATTTGATTGTATGAGTATACTAAATTAAGTAATTAATGAAATACGAAAATTAATTTAGAAAAAAAATGGAAAAAGTGAATTTTAAATTGGCTAATATTTTACTTAAAATTAAGGATTTAATAATTATAAATATTGTAATTACTTATTTACCACGTAACTAATAATGCAATAATGATTAATTGTTCATACATGTATTATAAAAAAATTATCGGATGGAAATTGTGTTTTTTTATTTCAGCAAGTTATTGAATATAAATGGACTTATAGTTGTCAAAGAAAACATTTCCAAAGAAGTAGAAGAAATAGATTCAGAGGACAGCTCGGTTACAAGAAGTTATGTACATTATTGTACTTTATTCCAACAAGCAAATTTAATATGTACAGCTAAAAAAACTCAATCAAATTTTCCACCAGAATTATATAAAGTTGAAATGTTTGCATTAAAACCAAATTAAATTTTTGAAAATATATTTTATGTTTTATATTAAATTTCATAACTCACCTGTTATATTTTGTTTGTTTAATGTAGCAGCAGTGGCTTATACATAACTTTTGTATTATTTGCAAAAAATCATTATTTTTTTACGTTTCTAACGCTCTCACATTAGGAACATTATTTTATAACATTAAAAAAAAAAGGCCTAGGGAGGATCTGACAACCACATCACCTCCTTGTATACATCACTGTGCAGCAGTTCCTACTACCCAGCCCTCACTAAAACAATACCTACATTAAAATATTCAATAGATTAAATAAAATAGAATACATATTTTTGTTTTGATGTTATTTTGTATGCAATAACCTTTATTTATCTTATTATTTTTGTTTATTTATTATTTCTATTTTTAGTGAATTTAATATTATTATAAATACGAGTACACTATTCTAATAAATTTGATAATATTTATAAACTATTATGGATCCGAAAAATTTCTAGAACAGAACTGCAACACACAACAGCATACTTTCAGTTTAAAATTTAATATTTAATTTTCCATTTATTTGATAATTTATATGACAGAATAACATTTGCTAGGTGTGCTAGTTTTTTATATATTTTATAATTTTAATCATAATCATTGAAAATGTATGCGGCTCACAAGCAAGGCTTTAAAGTGGGAGTGACACAAGGGGACTCAGCCTCTCTACATCTCACAATGCTTATAATGCGTCTTTTAACATTTTTACGAAAAGTTTACTGAAATGCTCAAATAATTGTTAAAATTAATCATATAAAATAAAACAGTGGAAAAGTTGGTTTTGCAGTTTAGTTTGTTATTTTGTGTTTAACAGTGTTCTAAAAACAAAACCAACTAAAATTAAATATAAATTATATAATAATATATACTGATATATAAGTAATTTACAAGTTATTATATATTATAAGGTATAGTTAGTGAAAAATTTACTCCACACACTATTCATATATTAAAAAATGTATAAAGTAATTTACAAGTTTATACATTTTTATAATATATGTATAGTTTGTGGAGTAAATTTTTCACTAACTACACCTTATAATATATAATACCTATTTATAATGTATAATCTTAAGTTATTATTTTGTCCCTACTGAAATCCTAGAGGGGATCACTAAAAAACAATTGAATTTTATTTTATGCATAAATTCACCAAGGATTCTCTTTGACCGGTGTTGCATTTTAATTTTTTATCAACCAAGATTATTAATATATCCATTAAATCCATTATTGGAGAGATGTATAAGGTATACACTAAATTGCATTTAGTTAAAATTTCACTTATAGTTTTTCTAGCTAAGAATAAACATTTAATATAAGTAATGCATATACAGTTTTTGGCCATTTGGTATATAAAGTTGAATTATTGCTATCAAAATTCAATTATTTTACTTATAAATATTTATTAAATAACACTATAAAATATACATTAAGTTATGCAAAAAATTTAAAAATATTAACCTGCGTTGTAGTTTACTCTTGAATCGATGAGTATTGATTACAATTTATTTTCAATAAAAATACATCAAAGATAAATAATTTTTATGTGATTTGGTTATTAACTCTATGAATAATTATTTACCTTGAAAAACAGTTATCAATTTCTATAGAATAAATTTGTAATTTGATCTCTTGGTACATATGGAAGTTGAAAAAATATATTCTTAAGCAAAACACATTTATGGTTTCATTTTAAGTTAAATGGTAATAAATAATAAATTATTATTATAATTTGTAGTAATTGCAAAAAGAATCAAATCAAATAACAATATTTTTTTTATCAAACAGACTTTTTATTTAAGGTCAATAAAACAGTATTTAAGCTTTTACAGCATACATCCTTGGGGGGAACTTATTCTTCTTCTTAATTTCTTTCATTGTTTTAACACTAAGTTCCTTCTTTGTCAGTGCACGCCTCTTAGCCCGGGTAAGTTTTGGCCTCAAATCCAAAGGCTTGTATTTACGGTTCTGCAAAAAATAATCAAAAATTTCATTTAAATTTTTGGTTTAATCATTCCGGTTCCGTTCTAATCTAAATAAATAATTATAACATATGTAATAATAAATTAAGTATGGCTGTATATTAAATAAAAAAAAAAAAATGTTCATACCAAACATAATTATATAAAATATATTATATTAATATAGATAAGGAGATTAAGATTTATTATAATATTTGATATTCAAAAAACATGAACAACATTATCCCCAACTATCAATTTATTTTAAATTTAATGCCAATTATTTCCAAATTAATATAATATTAATTAATTTAAGTTAACTGATAGGTCAAAGAACAACCTGACAAGATACATTAGTAAAAAAAAAAGGGGACACACAAGATGTAGGTATTAAATTATTCAAAATTAATTTTTTTTCAGACTTGACCTGTTGAGTTTGTGGTTTGTATCATAATTTTAATTTAAAGAGTATATTATATACTAAGCTTTAAGTTTTGTAGTAAACAATTATTTTAATTGTCAATTGGTTTCACGCAAAAAAGAAAAAAGAAATTCACTGGATATTAAATATAGTATAATTATATTATTATTTTTGTATATATTTAGTATTATTAAATTAGTAAAATTTTAAACACATGTATTAACATTTTAGTTAAAATTTAAGCCAATACATATGGATTTACTATATAAATTAATGACAAACCTTGAAGATTTTACGTAGAGCTTCCTTTTGTTTTTGATGAATTACAACATAACAACGAAGAATTGCTTTACGGACAACACGGCTGAAATAAAAATAAATAATGTTGACTTATGTTCAAAATTAATAACTAATTTCATGATAGTTTTAAAGTAAATATATAAAATATAAATTGTAGTCATGTTATTAGAACAGAAATTAAATATTTATCAAGTTTCTATCAATTAATTTAAAACGACAGACAACTTTAATTTGTTTAATGAAAAAATTAACAGTAGACTAAAAACAAATTCAGGATTCAAACGAGGTACATACAAGAAAGAGTATCTCGTTTGGGTTCTATGACGGATAGTGATATAGAATATGAAAATTATTAAGCTTACATCCGGGAAAGTTTTGACGCTGTACCTCCGGTAACTTTAGAAACTCTTAAGTTGGCTAATTCTTGCTTCAACTCTTCAAGTTGCTTCAACAGTGATTCCTTGTCCTTAAGACGCAGGTCGGAGCACTTGACTTTCGTCTGGAAAATATCATTAAAGAAAAATTATAAAAACGTAAAATATCGGCATGACCATTGATCATTTCGTTTAACAATTAATCGAAGTTAATAATGGTAACACTAAAACAGAGAAACCATAAGAAACGATTAGGATTAAAACGGATACAACTTACCATTTTGTCGTGTTATAATTTACAAAGTGTCCTACCGAACTGAAAGACGGGTTTCCTACAATTATTGTGTTTACAGATGAGCAAGACACTCATAACCTAAAAGATCTTGGAAGAAAATTTCATGGAATAGTAAACCTTTGATCATTTTAATTTGTAAAAAAATTTTTACGTTATCTTTTGATAAAGGAAAAAAAATAATACTAATAAAATAATAACAATTGTTTTTTTTTTTTTGCTTTATAGTTATAAACTTTTAGTCCTTAAATTTAAGTTACTTTAAAACGTACGTAATGTACTCTAATCGTTTATTTACTATCTGTAGTGTTTAACATCAGTGATTAGTTCATTTTGCTAACGCTGGTTGTATTAATATAACAACTGAAATCCATGATAAATACTCTCAATCCAAGAAAGAGATAATTGTAAACGATTATTAAATTTTTTTTTTATCATGAATCAAATGGATATCGGACTGACTGAAGCAATGAAAAACATAGTTCCTAAAGGACTACCGAACGACATTAATTCTGCGTTCAGTGGTTATGTGACGGAGAAATTGTACATGTTGTTGCAGCTGTATCTGCAAAACAAAGGATGGAACAGTATAGAACTGTTGAAAATATTTTCTGAAATGAAAGATTCCTCAGTGTTACCAAGTGCTTCCTACTTGCAGTGAGTTTTTTATTTTAATGTTTTGTTAATTTAAATTTTATCAAACTATATACTTTATAATAAATAAATTATATACTTACAAAATTCAAAAAATATCCCATGATTTGTTATGAAAAACTATATCGGACAGGTAATTGGGAAAAGTGAAAAAGCATTCCGAGTGTTTTAAAATGAAAATATCCCTCGATTTGTTATGAAAAACTATATCGGGTAGGTAACAGGGAAAAGTAAAAATCATTCCAAGTGTACCTAGAGACCAAGCAGTGTCGCTCACTCGGACTGTTTTAGGTAAAAAAATATTTACGATATTTAGGTTTATGTTATATTTGTCTAATAAACCCAGTAAAATGATAACCAGGCGGATAACATACTATGTCTGTAATAGAATATTAAAAGACATTAAAATAAAAATTGTAGGTAATAAACTCGTATCTATCTAATGTTTCAGTTGGGCTTAAAATCACCGTAATTGACAGTATACGGTCTACATTGTTTGTGAAATATGTCTTTTAATCTTTTAAATATTTTTGAATTTTTCTCTTGTAAAACAAATAGACGATGAATGAAACTAATTTTATAAATAATGTAAAAATGTATAAATTGTTAAATAATATGTAAAAAAATAAAATAAAAACAGTTTAATTAAAAAATCTCTCGGTAGCTAAACTGCTATTATACCCTTAAATTCTATAGTAACAAATAAAAACAAAAATATACCTATTATAATTTCTTAAAAATATTATTTGGAATGCACTTTCTTAACCATTTAAAAAAATTGTATCATATTTATGTTTACAAAATTTTCAAGTAATTTTTATAAAATATTTTCAAGTTATTAGGCAAAAAAATATGAAATAAAAATATTTTACATAGCACGTTATTCTCACCAACCCTTCAATTGTTAATGTATATTGTATGTTTTAAGTATAATTTACTTTTATTGCACTATCATAAGTATTAGAAATGTTATGATAGTGCAATAAAGAATGAAAAAAGTATTAGAAATGTTTTTTCATTCTTTTTAATTTCAGAATGATGGCTTCAAGAGTATCATTAGATAGCCAAGCAAGATTAATCCTTAGGGAAAATGGCAAAATTATTTTACCTTATGAACATTTTGCAAATGCTGTGATGTTAAAGCATATGAATGGTCCACATGGATTACATTTAGGTGTTGAAGGAACTGTTAGAGCGGTAATAAAAGATAATTTTTTTAAGGAATCAATAATTTGAATATTATGTTTTGTTTTAACTGATTACTTTAATGCCTAATAGAAAATGTAAATCAAATGCTAATATATTACTATCATTTTTTTTTTATCAAATATATTTGTGGCATATTTATTTCAAACTGTTTGTTTATTCATTTTAATTACAATTTTTTAAAGTTATCATTTTTTTACATTACATTAATTTAAAAGGTTATGGATTCATATACCATTGGCCGTGAAAATTTTGGTATGGAAAAAGAATTCATTATTGAAGTTGTACAAAATTGTCCGAACCCAGCATGCCGTTATTACAAAAATCAATTAGATTTATCTCAACATGCTAAACAGTCTAATTACATGAATTCTTCAAACTCTGGTAGGATAATTATAAGAATAAAGTAGTTCGGTCAATTAAAATTTGTTTTTTTATAATTGTATTATAGGAGTGAATATACCAGTTAGTCGAGAAAGTCCAAATATCTCAATGAGTCAAATGATTAATCAGCAACTAAGTGCTCATGGATTGACTCCTGCAAACACTCCATCTCAACAACCCCATTCAGTACCTGTGGATCTAACTGGACCATCTCCTCATCAAGCTCCTGAAATACCGAATCCCCTTCCTATACACATACCACAGGCTCCAAAAACTGTGAGTGCTCGACAAGCACAGCATAATAAGTTGGCTGATTTTCTAAAGGCAAATCTTGAAAATTTAGACAATAAAGATTTATTGGCAGCCCATGATACTACTTGGCCTGAAGTTACAGACAACCGTAAAGGTCATTTAGACGGTAAGCTTTCTAATAAATAGTTAAAATAAATTATGTTATTGTTTGGTAGTTAACTTATGTAATTAATAAATTTATTGATTTATTTGGCATTTAATGTTAAAATAAATTTATATTTTTAATTTTTAATTAAAGCCTGATAAAATTTTTAATAGTCTGAAATATTTTTATTCAGATTTGTAATTATGAAAATATCATTAACTCATACAGCTGATTTTGTTGATGGGGCTTATATTAAAATTGAAAATTGTATTATGTTGTATAAATGCGCAAAGACATGTTAAAAACTAAAATTTAGTTTTGCAATTAAAATCTTTTGTTTTATCTAAAATTCAATAAATTATTACATGCTCATATAATTTAATTTTGTGATTTAGAGTTAATTTTAAATCATACATGTTTTCAACAATGTTTTTCAATATATCATAATTCATACATAAATTATAAATTATATTAATTCTTATATAATTCAATTATAATTATATTAATTGGTTGTATAATAAGTTTTGATTATATATTATATATTCAGTATTTGTATTATTCTACTCATGCAGTATCCAAGGAGATTTTTTTAACCAAAATACAAAAAAAATTGAATCTGAAGAATAGTAAGTTATATTATGATTGATACAAATAAAAGGACAAAATACGTCTATCTATTACTTTTTTAAATAAGCTTTTGCATTAATTACAGAAAATAAAATTGTTATATGGCTACTTTTTTCAGAAATATTCATGTTGTATAAAGTATCTCATATTTGATCCATATTATGGTTAACGAATTTATATTTACAGCAATGAGATTATTAAAAATAATATACAGTTATATTTTCTAAAAAATTGTATTCTTCATAAAATATTTGTTTTTAGTAGGCATTTATTGAATAGGAAATAAATAATAGGTTTCTATTGATTTTTAATTTATTTCATTTTGGTAAGATTATAGTGCTTATGCTACTCACTGTAATAGTGTGCAATAATACTTTAAATTATAATATTATAAGTTTAGTTATTAATGAGATGAATATAGTGTTTTTAATTGTTTCTTATAATACAGTAAAATTATAAGCAATTCAGAAATACATCTTTAATTATTTTGGAGAAGGTTACTATTGAAATTAAAGTTGTACAGAAATTTATTAAATAAAGTACTATTGTTGAAATTAATGATATTGTTATTTTTTTTTTTTTTAGCTGGCCAAGAAAAAATTATTAGAGCATTTTCGGAAATTATGAAAAATATGAATAGAATGAAAGCATGTGTAAGACCAGCTATGTGTAAGCCTTATGGAAAACAATCTGAATCATTACAAAAAAGTAATGTTAATAAAATTAATATTGTCTAGTTATCATTTATGAGTTAATTAATCTTCAGTAAGATGTGAGGTATAATAAATGACTTAAATTTTAAGATCGATATTCAATGGAATTTCAATATTCTTGCATCAAAAATAACATTAAAACACAATTTAAAATGAGTATATAATAGTTAACCTTTTTAAAGGTTATTTTAATTGTGACCAAGCTAAATGATTTGGTCATCTCGAAAGAAATATTTTCTTTCAAATTTGTATTTAAATATATGTATATGTTACGGTAATAGTACGAATACTGGTGAAACCTAGGATATGGATTGTTGCTTGGTTAAACCTTGAATAATTTTAGCAGTTCGGACTTTTACCAATGAGTTTTGGTAAATCTTAGAATCAACAGTTAATGATTATATAAGTGCGAAATTATATATTTTTTCCAATTCTGTGATAATTCTTACCTATAAAAATATTTGTTGCCCTAATGTTAAAATTTTTATATATTTTATTAACTTCATACATAATACGGTTTCCACCTTCATGGCCTGTTGCAATATGAGTATAATATAACTCATTATACCGAACATAATGCATTACTTCGAAGTCATCATTCATCAGAACAATTAGTTTTTTTTCACCAGCAATATTAACAATATCAAACCATTTAAGTCGCCGATAGTGAATTGTTTTTTCACATTAACAGATTTAGCTACTTTAACTTTACTAAAAAATATATTATATTTTTCCTCAGATAAATAAAAACCGACATATCGAATACTGTGTATACTCGTAATACTAACCACGATAATTGTAAAACGAATACTGCTCGTAAAATTGCTTTCTGCAATTGGCCTAGATATCAATTTATTAAATTAATCTTCTATTAAATCTGTTCCATATCTTAATCATTGAAGACACAATGATTAAAACTATTATTATAATTCGTATCATAGTCAAAAATTAAATGAACTATATAAATTAATACTATTGATATCAACACAAATGCACAAGAATAAATACAGGTAAGAATTATCACAGAATTGGAAAAAATATATAATTTCGGATTTTTATAATCATTGATTGTTAATCCTAAGATTTATTGAACCTCGTTGGTAAAAGTCCAAATTGCTGAAATCATTCGGGATTTTACCAAACAATAATGTATATCCTAGGTTTACTGGTAAATTCTAGGTTTCATCGGTATTTGTACTAGAACCGTAACATATATATATATATATATATATAACTAAAATTTTAGTATTTTATTTAAATTTACCACAGAATATTAAATAATACTTTGTATTAAATTTAAAAATTAATTTTAGCATTGATTGACACGATTCAACTTGTTCAGTCGTTAAGATCATTTCTTCCTCCTCCACATATTGCTGTTAGTAGTTGGAAAAATGAAGATAAACACGGGTAACAATATAGGAATTTGTTTGCATTTAATTATTGAATAATTTAGAATTTTAAAACTAATAACAAATATATATTTTCTAGATTGAGAAAAAATGTTTTGGACAACTCAAATCAAACAGTTTCAGCTGCCAATTTTAAAGATCTCTGTGATGCTATGTCTCGCAACAAGCAAAATTAAGAGCATCTATTGCTATTCAATTTTATAACTATTTTCATTCAATTTCAAAATTCACATTGCTTTTATTTTATATTAAGTCTAGTCAAAATTCCCTATTTTTCAAAATTAATGGGAAACTCTGGTTACCTAGAGGGATATTACCATTTTATTAAAATTTAATCTAATTAATGTCTCTAATGAGTGTCTTCTAGTTTGATGGATTTACCTATATTTTTTATTTTGACATTATTTTTAATTTGATATCTTTTTAAATTTATGAACTTCAATAATAATTTATGATTTAAAACTATTGTTCTTACGTACATGTATTGTTAGCATGATATCAAAAAATGATGTGTTGCCAAATGTTTATGTTTCATTTATTGAGAAACATTTCATGCCATAATAGTAACTTAAGTATACATTAAATAATTAATTCTTTCATTACAATTACGTAATGTAATCATAAGTTAACGCATTATAATATGTTGACTATTTTTTATCAATATTATATTAAATTATTCTAATTGCCATTTAATTTAACCCATAACTACTGGTGCATTATTATTCATTTTTTATTTTTTTATTGTAATAAAAATCAACTGTTTTTAAAATATCAGGATTAATCTAAATAAAATCCTTTTAGAAATGAGAACAGTAGAACCTTTTGTACGTCAAATTTTTTATTATAAAAAAATTTATGTTAGGTAGATTGATCTCAAATTATGTTGTTAATTTTGGAACGATTAAGTCAAGTTCCTTGTTTGAAAACTGCTAGTAAATACACCAGAAAATAAATTTCATACAAGTGGTTATGGGTTAATAATATATATTTTTAATTACATTTAATTGTTTTATTTATTGTGTGCACTATTCAAAAATTTGTTTTCAACATATTTTTTTTACTATTTTTGTTAGGGGTTTTGTTATTTATTTTATTAATGCAGTTAAATTTGTTTTCAATTTAACTATCAAAAAGTTTGTATTTGGTTCGAGTGAAATGAGTGATTTTAATTTGTTTAACTTATCTCCTTGACCATTTAAAAAAATTTAAGAAGTGATTCATCACTTTATTTACTTTAAAATTTATTTTACGCTAGTCAATAATAAAATCTTTAAAATTATTCATCGGTGATCTTTAAATAGTTAATATTTTCTTTGTTTAATTTGTATTAGATACTTTTTATTAAGTAAGCAAACATGTAATTTTTGACGAATCATTAGAAATTAATGTAATTGTACTTGTATGTTAATGTTGTTTAAAATAATATGAGATCTTCATATGTGTTCCAATACAATTATATACATTATTATTTGTTTAAATTATTTATAATTTTAAATCCTTAATGACTACAAGATATATGTGCAGTAAGTGTTGGTTGTTCAAACATTCTGTGTTATTTAATATAATATATTATGCATTTAGTATTATATATACATTATATGAGTATAATATTAATGCAATGGGGATGATTTGCTTATATTTTATCAATATTATCATGCTAAATTATAACTCGATTATATGTCCTCTAACTGTATTTTTGAAGTATGAATTGTGTAGGTCTTATCATAAACTCATTAAATCAATATGTATACCGATATTTGATGTTATAATTAATAATTTCTATTCATTTTGACAATTTTGAAAGAGGATTGAAATTGCACACATTAATGTTCACATTAGGCTAAAAATTAAATTATATTATTATTTAGTAGAAGGAAAATGTGGTTTGTCAGTTTCTTAACTATTATTTTATTAATTATCAAAAAGTCCTGATTTGTGTGCATTTAAAAAGCTTAAAATAGTATGCATTAAGACAGCGGTTCTCAAACCGTGGTACGCGTACCACTAATGGTACGCGAAAGGCCGCATGGTGATAGAACGGAAATTAAAAATTCATTATTTAACTCGTATATTAATTTAAAAACACTAATAAATTTGTAATAATAAATAAATAGTTATTTTATTTTAGTATTTTAGTGCCTTTTTATTTAAAATAAATATATTTAATTATGTGAAGTTTGTATGGTTCTATTTTTAATCATTAACGTGACTGATTGATAATATATTCGTGTAGTACGCGAAAAAAAAAGTTTGAGAACCGCTGCATTAAGAAATCTTTAAACATGTACTTGATATGTTTTTATTTTTTTTAAGTACAGATATCAACTATAATATTAACTAAAGTAACTAACGGTAAATATTTAAAAATATATTCAATAAATAAAATAAATACTTTAGTAAGGAATAATAATAAAAAAAATAACTATACATTAAGTTCTTTTATACTATTTCTTTGGTAAATATTTATGAAGTATAAAAAATATTGAATTTTTATAGATTAAAAATATAAAATCACACTTTAGTCATAAATAAAAAGGTTTTGATTAATAAATACGATTTATGATATTTACATTTTGTAAAAAAAATTCACAATAATATATTTTTTTATGTGTTCAGGTATATTTATCTTTAATAAATGTTTATAAAGACTTAACTATTTTTTTACATCTACTGTTGTCAGTGACGCATAATTCATATGAGCAACAGAGTAAAAAGTGAAGTTTCCTGGTAGCTGTATTTTATTGTTTCCAGATATAATTAATTAAATTTATTATTGTGATACATATTTTAGTTTTTATAGAGCAATTGTTATTTTGTATATTGGATAAATAACAGGGGTATATTTTTTAGGGGGGAGGGTGCGATCCCCCCCCGAATCCGTATTTAAGGAATTGATCATATGTGAGATACACATTTCAAATTTTTTTAATGTGGATCATTTTATAAGGTTACATAGTGTCCATATTTAGTGAAAAATCAAATAAAACACAAGCGTAACTTTCAAAATATAGACAGGTGTTAAAAAAGAACAACACAAAAGTCGATTCCAAGTGGATCCGGCATTAGATTAAAAAAAAAAAAAAAACTACAAATACGATTCACGTGATTTAAATATTACCAAACATTTTACTTGTACATTTTAAGCATGAATTAAAGAAAAAAATTGAGTTGCCCTCTCCCCCCCTATAAGTAAGTCTTAATACGCCCTTGATAAATCATAATCTAAATTCCACTATAAAATATGAATAAAATAATTAGTTTTATGAACTTGTATATAAAATATGCTTACATATGTCACTATCCCTAAAATATACATTTATATACAAAATACATTTTTTTCCATGCATACTCTGTAATTAATACAAATATTCCACGTTTTTTAATCCCATCAAGCTGATACACACATTACAAATATATAAATGCATATATATCTTGATGTCTACAGACATTAACTAATAACTGTAGTAATGATAGTAGTTTCTCTTACAAAATAAACGTATATCTTGGACTTTTCCTGATTAATTTTTTAATTTTGACCTAAATTAAAATCAATGCATACATTTTTATGTTATTTTCCTATTTGCATAAAATCCATAAAAATACACTTGTTATATTATAACAATAAATAATTTGGTACAAGTTTTATACCAAATATACAAAAAACAATGTAATTAAAAGAAAGTGTGTTTATTGTAGTTTATAATATTATTTGAAAATAATTAAAATAAATTAAAAATTATATTTATAAATGATTGACTGAGTTTTAATGTTCAAAAATTGACTTAAACTTATCTTAAAACCATTGAATCATGCCATTGGTTAGTCGATTAGTGCACCACTCTACACTTTGACAGTCTTCTCAACTTGGGGTTGTTTTACAGACAGTATGAAAACGGCATCAGACAACCAATAGTAATCTTGTCTTAGGTCGCCTTCGCACAAGTATGGAAGTCTTGTCCAGCACAGCACATTGAAACCAAACGGCTCAAACACATTGTGGATGGTTGAACACACTTGTTCCTCGAAATTTACTCCGGTAATGGACAGTTTCTGTCCCGGCACCATGGAACCTAATCGGAAAAGTATAAAAAAATATGAGCTCATATAAACGCAAATCAATGTATCCTAATTTTAGCGTTGATCTGGTTATCAGTTAGACTGGTTAAATCTAATGATGTGATCTTTGGATTCATTGAAGTCTATCATTACCTATTTTTAATTTTCAATAAGACCAGTGGCGTTGGTGAACGACGTTTGCCTAACGCAATTGTTTATCCTCAGAAATCTATCAAGGAGTGGGTATCACTCAGCTCATGTATTTACAAACAAATATTATTTAAATAATTCAATTAATTAGTTAATCGTATGCATTGAAAAATTATATGTTATACACATATGGAAGACTGAAAGGAGTTAAGTAAAATCCTATAGTACAGTAGAATAGTTATATACATATATATTATGTAGTAGGAAGGCGGGGGTATTTTAGGATTGTTTAGATACTTTGCATAAGGTTTGAAATATGCTTGTTATACCACTGAATAAGACACTCATGATGTTCCTGAATATTATTTGATTTATTATTTTTGATTTTTATTATTTTTGATAAAAGTATTAGGATAAAGCCTACTTTTTCTTCCAACAATTCTCTTCCCCGTTAGCGGTACTGATGACAACCTTAATTTCTAAGTTTAATCGGTCAAACTGAATAGCAGTTTCCTTAAAGTCCCGTTGACTGTAGAACTTACTGAATTCATCGAAGGGTCTGTAAGGCAATACCAATGCCACAACGATTCGGCCGTTTGGTTTCACGGCCTTTTTCATATCATCCAAAAGTTTTAAGGGCTCGCTGCACCGGTCCAACAGGTTCAAACATGATACCACATCGAACTGTTCTCCGTGAGTCCACCACGAGTCTACGTCCAACACACTGGAAAGATATTATTCGTTTTAGTGTAAAAGTCAAAATAGAAATAACTATTGTACACAATAGGTCCTATATATGAATTTGGCGCGTAAACAGGAATACTTGTTGGACAATCCTCATGCTCAGAAAAATAATTTATGATTATTCATACCATGAGCCTAAAAAATTAACTATAATATTATCAGTGGCTCCTAAACGTTTTTTTAAATTTAATTCTTAAAAATAAAAAATATATTGCACCTCCCATGAAAAATTCAATACTTAATCAAATAAAAGACAAGTAACAGAAATAATTATTCGACTATTTATTATTAAAATTTATAAGTCAAAAATCATAGATTTTATTTTTATCCATAACATCAATTGTAGAAATCATACGAATTATTAATAAGTACTTAATCCATATCTACTCGTATTATCTACACAACTAAAGGTCTAAAGATTATATGTCAATGATTATCATCATAATGTCAATTAGTTATAGCTAAAAGTTCTTTTATTATTTAGTTTCTTATGTTGCAGGTCCCTGTTCGTAGTAACCGGAAGGTCATTAGTCAAGTTCGTTTTATTTTACTCGTTATAGCAGATATCTTGTTATAATCATATTCGTTGTAAACGTATATTTTAACATACAATCATATGGGCTTATGCCGGGACCTACTTTTTTTCTCGTTTTAAACAATATCTCGCTCTAAGCAGTGCTCTTTGTGGTGATTTCTACTGTATTTGGTGTTATAGTTACATTTTAAATTTATGTATAACAGATACTTGTAAAAACATTGACTCTAAAAATCTTTTTGAGTTTTTAAATCGTTTAGCTACTTTTTTTGGTAATTCTTACAAACGGATGAATATCCTAGTTGTTTTAAAGAAGATATATTTATATATAAGATAAATATTTTATATTATCAATTCCTGAACATGGCTTACAAAAGTTGGCAGAATCAGCAAGTATTGACCACAATAAATTAGTTAGGGCTATATCGTATGTATATTTAGGGCCGCTTAACTGTGTTACCGATAACCTCCCAGTCCGTTCCTGATAATACCAACAAATCATAAGAAGATACTTAATATTCGTATTTTAGTGGAGTACATGTCAACTCAACTCTGCTAATGTTTTTCTATGCCTGGCGAAATGAATGGTGTTGTTGCGTTGGTATACCACTAGTGACAGGCAATTTGAATCGATCTTTTTCATGCGATGAATCAGTCTCCATGTTCCTATCTTATAAAAGATCGATTCATTTTTGTGAAAATCAATTCGAATCGTTAACCCAATTCTTTACTCGTTTGTAATCGTTGATACAATATTTTATGCAAACCGATTCATTATTAATTGTTTATTTGATTTCCGATATTTTCACAGTGCTGATACCATTTGTTCTTATCCCGAAACTTTCATTGCGGTTTAAATAGATCCACTTTCAAAATTCACCCATCACTAAAAGTTACTACACATATCACATATTTTCATCTACTTATTATGTAGATTACAGGAAAATCTGTAAAAAGTGTCTTCTATTGTTAAAAAAAAAAAAAAAAACAAAATATAAAGTGAGTCGATCTTTTGACAAGGATCTTTTTTCGGATCGATCTAAATTCAGATTTAAATCGATTCAAAAGATCGATTTACTTTTAAGAATCAACCTTCGCTAGTACCAACACAGCTAGAGTGTCTAATGGATGAACTTACGTGAAACCTTTTTGGGCTAAGATCCGTAACATCGGGCCAGACTTTTCAGTCGCGTAGATTTGATGGACCAGTGGTGTGTACTTTTCAGTGGTGGCTCCGTCGCCTGCGCCCAAGTCGATTAGCGTCGAGCCGCTGTCGAAATACGTGATGTTCAGTAGTTGTCTGATTTGGTCGGTGGAAAACACGAACATGGACCCTCTTCGCAACAACCTGTTGGCAGGCGAACCAGAACCAATTGCAATTGTTATCGTACACGTATTTCAATATTAATTGATAATTTTAGTTTTATCGCGCGCTCATGTGGTGTGTGTGTGAGTAGATCGGGTTTTTGTATTTGTTTTCTGATGTCACCACGGGGCGTTTACGCGCGTATTGTCATCGCGCGTGAAGTTTCGCGCGTTACACTATTTGACGGTGGAAGGGGTGTATTTTTATTTTTCGTGAACCTTAAACGCCCCTTTGAACCGGACGGGCACACTACGCTATAAATAACCGTGTTCTCCCCCCGAGCGTGTGAATGTTAAAAACGAAACACCAACCCGATAAATAAGATTGAAATTGAAACACCGAGTCACGGAGTAGCGAAACGACGCCGAGACTTTTAACTCTCATAGGTTAAAATAGGTTTTTTTTTGCATTTTTTTTTTCTTCATATAGACATTTGTGCGATAAACCAACATGACTATGTGTCGCGGTCAAAAAAGTATAGAGTGATTTACACAACTCTGTTGTACATCGACTTAAAGTCAAAAAGTCACTGCGAAATGCAAATCAATTTATATCTAATTATATATTTGGTATACATACCATAGAAACTCAGTAGGTATATTTAGATTTATCATGTTATGCCATTTTCCAAATGTCGTACTGCAGGCATCAGTTAATGAGGTATGTATATTTTTAAAACTTTTTCTAGGTTTTTGGTAATTTTGATACTAAATATACGCCGAAGTGACATTTCTTGACCACTTAGAAAAATCAAAATAAATATCTTTTCGTAATAGTGTGGTTTTCATTACGAAATTGGTAATGTGAATATTATAAAAAGGTGCATACACAAAACATATTTTGAGGGGGGGGGTTTAAGGTTGTACATTTATATATATATATAATCTACAAACAATATTTACTTCATAAAAACATATTTAATAATTTTTCTGAATTTCCGAGGGGGGGGGGGGGGGAAATCCTCCCCCCCTTGGCACGTGCGTGATTTTAAATGTTTAGCGATTCAGAGTTTTGAATGACGTTTGAAAAAAAATGTTTTATTCGTTATTATATATTTACCTACACGTAACGGATTCAGATATAAATTGCGAAAACAAATGTAATTCAGTATCTATTACAGTTAACGGACACGGGATAATGTCTTTGTATGTGATGAACTTACGTGTAGATATTTTACATTAAAAATGTCAGTGGATAATTTCATCTGCGTACGATTTGAGAGTAATAGAGTATGGTGGAAAAAAGATATCGTCGAACACGCGCGGAGATATGTGAGACGCGAACATACGAGAAATAACAAGATAGTTGTATTCGTGCACCCAAACGTATCCTAATTCGTCGTATTTTTTGTCATGTTTGTACCTACGTCAAAGAATAACTAATGGTTCTGAACATAATACTATGTACAAAATCGTTTTACAGACTGCACGGGCGTATATATCGCTATATAAATACGTATAGGATTTAACAACGAACGTGTTGAAATTGATTTAAAAAAAAAGTTTAAATTTGTTACAACACAGGGTTGTACCTACCTGATAGATGTGTATTATAATAATTCAGATTAAACTTAATATCGAGTATTATTAATAGTCGTTACACGTGAATATACCAACGGTCCGAAGACGAAATTTAAAGATTAATGAGGTTGGCGTGCAAAGATGGATTGTTATTTTTTTCTCGCACTATATCCCATCGAGCGCTGCATGTATGAATGATTCGAAGACGTGTTTAACGTCTAAGAACACATCATATTATTGTACATAAATTAACATAATATGTTGATAATAGCATGTTTTTCTTGACTACATCTTGATTTGGTAAAACGATTTATGTCATGAGATTTGAGTTGCGCATAATAATCACGTTTAAAACATATGTTTCCAGCGGAGTGACGACGTTGTCGAAGTTGATGCTGTCTGAGATGGTACAGGTAATATAAATAATAAATACTATACACACAATGGTGGGCCAAAGGGCTCAATTTTATGTCAACTTTTCAGTGGGAGAGGTGATGTCATCCCGTACCTGTGGTGCCGAATTATATGCCAAGACTCCTACATTAATGATTAGGTCGAACATTTTATTTACATCATAATTCGCTTATAAGTAAATAATGTATATAAGAATAATAGACTATTATAGTGTATTGAAGTACTGTCTCATACTGAGATAATAAAGTAATAGTATTCAAACATAGATACATAGACGCAACTAGGGTTTTATTTTCGAAAAGTGGGCTAATTTTTTTTTTTTTTTTTTGTATCACTTTGGTAATTGACTTTTACTTTTTAATTTAAAACTGTTATGTGGAGGATACATACATATTTAAATATAAAAATGCGTTATTTAAAATGTAAGTTCAGTCTGCCACTGATTTCATATTTATATCGCGAATACAAAATCGTCGTATCAAAATCGGTTCGTAAAAAACTCACGGTATTACATGTCTCCGCGAAAAAAATACAGTCAACATACAAAACTTCTTCTTCTACTTCGCCTCTCTCTCAAATATTTGGGGTCGGCCACCCTTGTCCTTAACCTCCACTTGTCTCGATTTTCTACATCCCCTACGTACACACCAACAGCCCTCATATCATTTTCAACCGTATCCAACCATCTCATTTTTGGTCTTCCTATTTTCCCTTAAACATTCATTTTCATAACCACTCTTACGGCTTTTGTTTTGTCTCACTTCATCACATTTTTAAACCATCCTCAGTTTATATTCTCTCATCTTGTCCACTATTGACGCTACACTAATACTACCTCACACATATTTGTTCCTTATTTTATCTTCTCTTGTCCCTCTACTCATCCATCTAAGCATTCTCATTTCTGCAACACTCATACTCTGTTCTATTACCCTGTAAGCCACCCAATACTAAATCATACAGTATAGTTGGTCTCACTACACTAATGTAAAATTTACTTTTCAGTCTCATTGGAATTCTCCTATCGTATAAAACGCCCGAAACTTCTCTTCATTTAACGTAACAGTACTTAATCCTACGATTATGTTTTACTTCCATACCAAAGTCCCTATCCTTTTGTACAAATTATCTTAAATTTGTGGTCAACATTAGAATCGTATGATATATTTTCGTAATAGCCGAATTGGCGAATCACATTTCGTTAGATTCCAGCAAGTGCTAAATTGATCACAGATCATTTAGCAAAAGCTCCAGATTTCTAGTCATCGACGAATTTTTCGTACGCTGAAAATCAAAATATTTTTACACAAAATTTAAAAACACACGTACAATTTATATTTTATTAACAGACTTCCTGTATAGTAACACAGGCAATCTCATGAAGTCGTAATAAACACATCACACTGTATAATTTGTTATCCAACTTCAATGAAATCACGACCGTCTTTTACAAAGCGGTAAATATTATATTATAAAACTAGCCGACCCGTCACAGCTTCGTCCGTGATTGGTTGTTTATTTTGCCTTCGGACCATGATATGTAGAATATTTTATTCAAATATTATTGTTTAATGTGATCGGCAAGTAAATGTAAAAAAACGGTTAATGAAAACGGATTGAAATTTTTCTAGCGTTATAAATGATAAAAATAAATACAGATAAAAATGAAATAATTTATGGTTGATAAAGAATTTGATTGAAGTTGATGAAGAAAAAAAAAAGAATTAAAATAAGAATTTTATAAGACTTCTGAGTATATGATGTTTTTTGTTATATTTCCTGTTGAAATTAAAATCATAAGATGATTCGGGTCCCCAGTTCGAAAAAATGCCACGTATAATTGCCCATGTGAAAAGCACTCTGTACGAAGATCTACGCCAACGTACTTGAATGTTTGACCTTGCGCTTTGTTTATGGTAATGGCAAAAGAAACTTTAACCAGGAATTGAAGCCGTTTGAAAGAAAACGGCAAGTCGGAGGGAATCATGGGAATTCTTGGAATAAATGCAATTTCTCCTTTTGCTGGCCCTGTAAGAATTACGACTTTTATAATATTATTTCGCAACGATTTTATTTGTAATCTTGTACCGTTACATAAGTTCGGTGGTTGAAGATTACGTAATAATGTAATTGGAGCACTAATTTTTAATTTTAGCTTATGAGGAGGAAATTTCGAAGGAGAAAGAGAATTGAGAAATTCTTGTGGATAATGAATAGCATCATCTGTTGATGTAACTGTATCAATAGATAAATATTCACGTGAGTATCCATCGAATTTTAGAAGGATGATATCATTAATTTCTCCTGCTGTTACATTTCTCGGAGAGATAATAGCTCTTTCACATAACCACTGATAAGATTTATTGGACAGGTTAAAAATGTCAGGAAAAACTGTAGAAATCAACTCTTCCACGTTATTGACCACCCGTCCAATCGTGTGATTGACAGAAATGTAACCATTTTCATTTTCTAAAGTTCCATTTCCAATTTTCAACAACTGTGCTGGAAAAATATCGTCCCCTTCGCATAAATAAACTCTCATGTTTGTTCGCAAATAAAGTTTTTCAACATAGTTCCATATAGGGGAAGATTTTAAGCAAGCATTAACGACATCAACTCGAGTACCTTTAGGGATTACTGGTAAGGTTTGGCGGAAATCACCAGCGAAAACAAATGTTATGCCATCCATAAACTTATTATTAAACCTAAGATCTTTTAATGTTCGATCAATTGCTTCGATATGTAATCTGTGACTCATTGTACACTCATCCCACACAACGAATGAGGTTTCTTGAAGAATTTTTCCAAGAGGGCCATTTTTACGAATCGGACAAACGTATTCTATATCAAATAATACATTTAACGGTAACTTGAAAGTCGAATGAGCAGTTCTGCCGCCACTAAGGAGAGTTGCTGCTATACCAGATGAAGCTACTGCTAATGCAACTTTACCTGAGGATCTAATTTGAGCCAACAACAAATTAATTAGGAATGTTTTTCCTGTACCACCCGGAGCATCTAAAAAAAAAATTCTTCCTTGATGATTCA